GCATGTGCCTAAGCTTCTGCCTCAACATACTTAAAATAGGAACAAAGTGACAGTATCATGATGGCAAGTGTTATGATGGCTACACAGATTCTAATTATATGCCTTTTTATAAAAAGAATATAACTGTTTATATCTTAAAAAATAAGGATGACTGCATAGCTTTCATCTACAAAACTGGCTTTGCCTCCCACACCCACCCAGCCTTTTGCTGGCTTTGGGCTCTTCCTTAGCTGGTAAAGCTGACTGACAGATACAGCCTACTCCAAAGGAACAGCCCCTTTTCAAAGAATGGGTGATTTGCTATAACTGTCTAAATACGCTGCTCAAAATGAAACATCAATCAACAGAAACAAAAGCACAGTTTTGTGACTTTGAAAGCATTTTTTTTGTAGTTTCTGTTAAAAATAAAAATGCTCAAATATTTTATGGGCAACATTGTTTGAATGTTGTAGTCGATCTTGAAATCCTTGACTAACAGACTATATTACAGAAAAAATGTATTACTGGTCAGGACTATTCAACATAACACAGGTAACATATGGCCTCTTTTGTTCTACTTTTATTTATCCATTCATATTAATGAATACTTTCCTGCATGTGTTGAATTCTTGTTCTGAGAGATATTTTTTAGCAGTGGAGAATCCACAGGGGTAAATGTGAGTTTTTGCACCGTGTGTCTTTTTTGAAAGCACAAAAGAGACTCTGTCATGCTGTTTCGCAGAAGAGGCAATGGGGAAGGTCAGCAGGCCAGTGCGAGTTTGCTAAGATTAGTGATGAATTCAACTACAGCTACCCGGCTGCTGTGCAGTGATGGGGCGTCCCTGGAAAACGAAGTCCAGGATTGTTCCTTAGCCCTGTGGCCATGTTTTTTGCACTCTGGTAACTTTTTTATTAGACTGTCATCATGCTAACTGCTTAGTGGCAGATGGTCCTTAAGTGACACGTTCCTGTGCTGTGGGCCACATTGCTAAGTGGTGCTCACCCCTTATAGCTAGCTTGGCCCCATCTGCCCAGACAGTCATCTGTAAACACAGCACTGATGATGCTGTACAGAATATGTTCCAGGAAGTGCTCGCTTTAACCCCTGGCTCAGCCAGCCTTTTACCACTGGCAAGGATTAGAAGAGCTCATCTGAGGATAACCATAGGCTCCAACTGGAAGAACCACATTAATAATGATTTTTGACAGATGCAGAATTTGAGCCCCTGATAATTACTATTCCACCAAACCCACTGAGACTGGGGACTACAATTAAAAAAAAACAATTTTCCACATAGAATGGCTTTCACACTGCATGATACTATTAAATAACCATCATTAGCTACTAAAGTATGCAATACTCATTTTCCAGAGCCCTTTCTTAGCCAAGAAATTTAAGAACAATAATGACCAATGAGTGAGTCATCAGCATGAAAACTGTTGATATAGGATAGGGAAACTGAAATTATTCAGAATTATTTAAATGCATAAGGAATTATTACAGATGATGATGTTGCACAGATAGTAAAGCTTTTCTTGCAAGAGGCCCAAAGTTCATTTCTTTGCATCTACATCTTAAGGGTTAGAACAAAAGAAGGTACTATCCATTGGGATGCTTTGGAAAAATAAAACAAGGAAGTATTGGGTAATTTTCCAGGTGCTGAGTGTTGAGGACATAACGATAAAAAATATGTATATAGTCCTTGTCCTCAACAAACTTATAGACACGTACACACACACAAAAATCACAGTACAGTGTGATAAATACAGTAATCAAAGTGTATACCTGGTATCTATAGCAAAAGGGAGTGCAGCTTGTTAGAGAGAATTGAGATGGGGGAAGAATATCAGTCTGTTTAAGAATCTGCAACTTCCTAATTTAGGACTTTTCATTCTCCCCTTCTTGGAAGCCATTTTCTTTTTACTCTCGTATCTAGCAATGTTCATATCATAGAGGCATAGGAAAGATAGTAACCAAAGAGGGATGACTGGAGGACCAATAACTGTCATTGAGAAAAAAAGCTTATCCCGAGCTTTTCAAGGCTTTAGATACATGAAATTTTTTTTTAAGTTTTTAAAGAAGATATGAAGATTGTGGAGTCCTGACTTCTCACAGGCCATATTCTTTATACATTACAACAATTCCATGCCTACATTAGTGTTCCTGCTTTATTAGGAAATATTTACATTAAATTGAGGTCTGAGAGTAAGTCAGATTCCTAACGAGGCTCCTGCTCTTAATGTAATTTTAAAACAGCTGCAACCCTAATCACATGTTATTTAGCCCAGAAATGCTGCCTTTTGCTTAATTGTTTTTGTTCATAGATTAGTTCACAGATACAATGTTAAGAAATACATGACTAAAAAGATTTGATAACACTGCATGGCTCAGATCCATCTCAATCTCTCTTTTTATTGAAGTAAAATTCACATGATATAAAATTCATAATTTTAAACATTTTTAAAGCCACAATTCAGTGGCTTTTAGTACATTCACAATGTTGTGCAATCACCACCATTGTCTAATTCCAGAACATTTGCATAACCCAAAAAAGAAACTCTATACCCATTAAGCAGTCATTCCCCATCCCCTCTTCCCCTCAACTCCCCCCCCCCTCCCGCGCCAACCTCTAATCTGCTTTGTCCCTATGGATTTGCTGGCTGTGAACATTTTATATAAATGGAATCATGCAATACGTGTCCTGGCATCTTTTACTTTGCAAATGTTTTCAAGGTTCATCTATGTTGTAGCATGTATTGGTACTTCATTCCTTTTTGTGGATGAATAATCTATTTTGAAGATATACTATGTTTATTCATTCATCAGTTGAGATAGGTATTTGCGTTGTTCAACTTCTTGGCTATTATGAATGGCGCTGCTATAAACATTCATGTACAAGTTTTTGTTCAAACACTTGTTTTTATTTTGGGGAGATAAATACCCAAGAGTGGAATTGCTGGGTCACATGGCAACTCTACTTTTTGTTTTTGTTTTTTTGTTTTGTTTTTTTTAGCTGAGCCATCCTGCTACCTATTGGCAGCTCAGCGGCTGCTCAGCTAGGGCTGGCCTCGAACCGCTGTTGCTCAGAGCTCGCACTCTTGAGCGAGCTCTTAACCAACTGAGCCAGTGCGAGCTCTTAACCAACTGAGCCATTCGGCCGGCCCCTGGCAACTCTACTTTTAACTTTCTGAGGAATCATCAAACATTCTAAAGCTGCTGCATCATTTTTTATTCCCACCAGCAACATACAAGGGTTACAATTTTCTACATGTTCGCCAACCTGTGTTATTTTCCCTTTAAAAAAAAATATTACAGTCACCCTAGTGGGTGTAAAGTGGTATCTCATTGTCAATGTTTTTTCATGGATAAATAATTCATCATAGTAACAATTTTAGAAATAAACCAAAAACAGCATGTTTATTACAGGTCGTGTTTTCTTCTTTTGTATATGAGGCTACCACTAAATTGAGGAAATTTCCCTGAGATGAGCTGCAAAGTGAACATACGCAACTCTGAACAACAGAGCTGTTTTTTACCTGCTCCCATCACCCACGCCCCCTACAGCAACTATGATCAACACCAGCGTATCTAAGTGATGGCTTGAAATGTCAGCCCCCTGAGGAATAGCCAGGTGTCTTTAGTCAGTGATTAGCAAAGAAGCATCTAAACCAGTGGTTCTCAACCTGTGGGCCGCAACCCCTTTGGGGGTCGAATGACCCTTTCATAGGGGTCCCCGGGTACCCGGGTACCCATATGTGGGCATATCTGCATGTGGGCCTGGAGACGGATAGAGGAGCGGTGTCTCAGTTCCAAAGACCATCGTAAATATGTGTTTTCCAATGGTCTTAGGCAACCCCTGTGAAAGGTTGAGAACCGCTGATCTAAACCATTTTGAGGCTTGGCTAGTGAAAAAGCTCTTCTGGGGGGGGGGAAGCCCTTTTAAAAAAAACCCCCAATAAACATTCATGTTTTTCTCCATATGTGCTCTCTTTTTTAAGGAAAGTGAAATACAACTAACCACCAATTCAGCTTCAGACCAAGTCATTTGTTTAGATAAAGCAAGAAGTTAAAGAGCTTGGGCCTTATGAAATTTCAAATTCCTTCCTAGCACATTTCTCATTAACAATTCAGTGTCCGTTGCACATATTCCTATGAGACCCTTTCATCATTTATTTTATCTCTGATTGCTAGTATCAACACACTGCAAAAGTTATTCTTTTTCTTGTGAGAGCACTTAGTTTTGAGAACTAAAACACATATATGCAAATGATTACTCTGGTAAAGCAGGGGGCAATTGGAAATGTATATATATATTCAGTTTCTGCATCCCTTTTTGCATTCTGAATTGTCTGGTACAAATAGCCTCCACGAGGAGTTTCGTTTCTGTTTAAGTTTGCCTCTCCTAATGTACACTGTGCTGACGGGAGGGAAAGCTGGGACTCACAGCACAGTGGGTACCACCTGGTCGAGAGGTAAAAGGAACAAGAAACTGGAGACAAAGCTAAAGCTTGAAAAAGGTGCAGCACTAGGCTGCTGCAGGTCACCTTCCTGGGAACCTGCGTGTTTCAGATAAATACTTAAAGGGATCTTGAAAAGGAATAGGGGAGCTGGATGGAGTGATTCTTGGACTGAACAACTGGAAAGCCGAAGAAAGCCTAGACTAGGGATGGTGGGACGTCCCAGGGGTTGTTTAAAATCCTGGTAATTGAACATTTGTTCTTTGTTACACAGAAACCATTCAATTCCTAAATGAAGTCGGCGAGCTTTAGGCTTGCCTACATTGATTTTTGTGTCTTGAAGGTTTAGGCACGTAAATTAGAGACGCGTCTCACGTCCAGGGGCCTCAGAAAAGCTTGATATCCTCGCATTTCAGGGCAAAAGACTCGAAGGTAGTTCTGCCATTCCTGGAGTTGATGACTGGTCCGGTCACCTGCATGGCCGGGCCCGCGTGGGCTTAGAGGAGCAGGCAACCCTGCTCACCCAGTCCGTTACATTCTCCTCCCCCGGGGCCCGCCAACTCTCCGGGGTACAAAGTACAGCAGGGACGCGGGCGGAGCCTTTCCAAGCGGCGCAGCCGTATCTTTCCCCAGTGAACACCTAGATGGATTTCCAATACCGAGCCTGGCACATTCGGGAGGGAGCCTCGGGCTCCTTCCGTACGCCCAGCTGCGCGTCCTCCTTTCTGCGGTCGATATTCCTCTGGGAGACGTAGGGGGGTGGTCTGGGCACTACGAGCTTTAATAAGAGATTCGCAGTGGTTTACCTAGGCCCCTGAACACTCCCGCCCGCGAAGAGCTGCCTGCGGTGATGTAACGCAGAAGCCCCTAACGCACGGTTGTTGTCCCTCCTCCTCCTGAGGCTCGCGGCTTAGGGTCAGTTTCCGTGACTCTAAGAGTATCTGCGTGGGCGCCTGTGCTGGAGTCCGGCCCAAAGAAAGGAGTTGCAACGAGCAAAAAACGTCACCGCTCTACCACCGCACACTTTGTACGGGCCATCCACGCGTGGGTCTGGAGGTAGCGCGCCCAAGGTAAGTAAGACTGGGAGCTTCCGCGGTGGGTCGGAGGAACAGGGCTAGCGAAGGGGGAGGTAGGGGTTTAGGGCCCCCGGGGACTGGACCCGAGTGGAATTGGGATCCCTCAAGGCGGGGCAGCAGCTGAGGGAAACTGAGATGAACTCCAGACATCTATGCCTGGGGTCCGCTTCAGTCTTTGCCTTGGATAGGAGCCGGGTGGGATGGGACAGAATCTACACTTTTGGTTCCCACCCACCCTCCAGGAAGGCGGAGAAACTCGCCAGGTCCCCCTGAGGACTGGGTAAAGGGTGCTGCAGGGGAACCCCGGAAGCAGCTGCTCGACTTGATCCGAGCGCAGGACTGGAAAGGAAAAGGAAACACGGGTGAGGGGTGATAAGCCTCCTATATTGCCTTCCTCCCTCTTTTTCTCCCCCACCTCCTTCCTTTTCGTAGCTGCTGACGCGCTGGTGGTGCCTATTAATCATTCACCAGCCCAGAGCCGCGCCAGTTAATGGCTGTGCGGCACCCGGGCTCCAGCCTCTGGGCCTCCCCTCTCCACGCTCGCGTGCGCTCAGGCGCCCCGGAGCGACGAGCGGTTGCGCGCAAGCAGCCGTTGGGCTATGCGCCCCGCCGGCGCGGGTCGGAGCCGCGCTCCCCGCAGCCGCTGCGCTCTAACCACAGTGGCCAAGAGGCAGTGAGCTGCGGGCAGGCCGCCGGGGTGCCGAGTGAGGGCGCAAGCCGCGGGGTCCTGAGGAGAGCTCCCTAGCCCCGGCAGCCCCATCTGCCCCATCAGCTGAGATGTTCCCCAATGGCACCGCCTCCTCTCCCTCCTCTCCTAGCCCCAGCCCGGGCAGCTGTGGCGAAGGCGGCGGCAGCAGGGGGCCCGGGGCCGGCGCTGCGGACGGCATGGAGGAGCCGGGACGAAACGCATCCCAGAACGGGACCTTGAGCGAGGGCCAGGGCAGCGCCATCCTCATCTCTTTCATCTACTCCGTGGTGTGCCTGGTAGGGCTGTGTGGGAACTCAATGGTCATCTACGTGATCCTGCGCTACGCCAAGATGAAGACAGCCACCAACATCTACATCCTCAACCTGGCCATTGCCGATGAGCTGCTCATGCTCAGCGTGCCCTTCTTAGTCACCTCCACGTTGCTTCGCCACTGGCCCTTTGGCGCGCTGCTCTGCCGCCTCGTGCTCAGTGTGGACGCAGTCAACATGTTCACCAGCATCTACTGTCTGACTGTGCTTAGCGTGGACCGCTACGTGGCCGTGGTGCACCCCATCAAGGCAGCACGCTACCGCCGGCCCACGGTGGCCAAGGTGGTGAATCTGGGGGTGTGGGTGCTATCGCTGCTCGTCATTCTGCCCATCGTGGTCTTCTCGCGCACTGCAGCCAACAGTGACGGCACGGTGGCCTGCAACATGCTTATGCCCGAGCCCGCCCAGCGCTGGCTGGTGGGCTTCGTGTTGTACACATTTCTTATGGGCTTCCTGCTGCCCGTCGGGGCCATCTGCCTGTGCTACGTGCTCATCATTGCCAAAATGCGCATGGTAGCCCTTAAGGCCGGCTGGCAGCAGCGCAAGCGCTCAGAGCGCAAGATCACCCTGATGGTGATGATGGTGGTGATGGTGTTTGTCATCTGCTGGATGCCTTTTTATGTAGTGCAGCTGGTAAATGTGTTCGCAGAGCAGGACGACGCCACGGTGAGCCAGCTGTCGGTCATCCTCGGCTATGCCAACAGCTGTGCCAACCCCATCCTCTATGGCTTCCTTTCTGACAACTTCAAGCGCTCTTTTCAGCGCATCCTGTGCCTCAGCTGGATGGACAACGCCGCGGAGGAGCCTGTCGACTACTACGCCACCGCCCTCAAGAGCCGCGCCTACAGCGTAGAGGACTTTCAGCCCGAGAACCTGGAGTCCGGCGGCGTCTTCCGTAATGGCACCTGCACGTCCCGCATCACGACTCTCTGAGCCGGGACCCCTGAGAGGCCCCGCACAAAGGGAGGGAAAAGCATTGAGGAGAAAGGGAGTCTGAGGGCGAGAGGTGGAAGTATCCCCGGGGTTCAGGGTGCGGTGGGGCAAAGTGGGGCTAGGACACTGCACGCTTTGGACGAAGGTGGCCCGGGAAAGGCGCGCGACCAAGGTGGATTCGGCGTTTTGCTTATGAACTGGAAATGCTTGCGGGCCTCTGTCTCCTGCCTCCTACTTTCGCTCCTTTCTCCACTGCGCTTGTACTTCAGCACCCCTCTGTGCTCCCCACTCTGTAATTCGATCTTTCCTTACGCCCGGTCCTGCCGGTGCAGATCGTGAACTTGTGAGTCGTCAACTCAGCCTGACCCTCATCCCCGCCAGCCGTTATTTCTGTTTGTTTAAGCTGAGCCATGGTTACCGCCAAAGGTTTCCTTCGGGGTGAGTCCTCAGCCCCGCCCTGCCGCGCCCCTCGCTTTCCAGATTCTGCCCGGTGCCCCTAGAGGAGTCTGGAGAACCACCGCTCCTCCTTTGCACACCCCTACTTTAAGGGAAAGAGCTAGGCAGCTGGTCTTTTCTCCTACTATGGGATGAGGATGCGTCTTTTCTCCTACTATGGGATGAGGATGCGTCTTTCCCGGAGGCCCTACGTCACTCCCACTCCACCTAAGCGGAGCCAGGTGCTCAGTAAAATCGGTCCCGCGCTTCTAACACCAGGCATTCTGCAGTTCTCATCCCAAACCCCCTTTGGAGCAAAAAGGAGCTGAAAACAAGGACCGAGGGGCTTTTAGAAGGCTCCGGGGTTGGGGGCAGGGCTCACAACCGGAGCTTTTGATTTCAAAGACCAGCATTCCCGGGAGACTGGTCTGCACTGGGCCGGGTAGGGCAGGGAGCGCTTTCCCCGGAGCCCGTCCGGGATCGTGGCTGCAGCTACACTAGGTTTCTCCCTCACTCAGGCTTCTGAAGGTGCAGATCTGAGGGTAACAACAGACTTGGTTTCCTGCTCCGGTTTATCTCAAAGACCAGGCAGGCACCGGGGACTGGAATTTCGGATGGGGCCTTCAAAGCCTTGGCCAATCACGACTGGGTCGCCCCCTCCTGCAGGCCTGTCTCACTCCTGAGGGTTGCTGCCTTTCAAGCGGTGCCTAATAAGTTATTTTCTTGTTTAACATATTTATTTATTTATTTATTTGTCGGGTTTGAACATGTGTCTCTGCTTTCCTTTACCTGCCTAGCCCAGGGCTTTTCCTTCAGGACCCTGGGGGTGGATGTGGAAGGGCTGGGGTGGGGGTTGGGGGGCTCTCTCAAAATTTCTCCTCTTTGCTGGGTCCTTTTTTTCTCACCCTTCCTCTAGCCTTTCTATTTTTGCTTGTATCCAATGAAGTTTGGAGATTTTTTCCTACTTATGTAGTGTCTTGTTTGTCTTATAATAAGTACATGCTTGTGTGGGTTAGCCTCCTCCTATGCAAAGTGGAAAGCGCTGAACTAAATTTCAACATCACCCTATATATGATTTGAATATATATATATAGTATATATGTATAATACGTATTCACATATTATATATTTGTTTGTCTTGCTTCATTGTCATGAGTCCATGAAATGGTTCCTAAATATAGCCACTAACAGTGACAGCTATGAGGCTAGTTGAAACACTTTCCCGACAAGGGGCTTCGAGCAGCTCTCAAACCTGGAGCTGAGATATCTGACTCAGACAGACTTCAGTCAGCACTGCGGATGCCCCTGCTTACATCCCTGTTCCCTCTAGTTTCCAGCATAGGTGATTCTAACATACAGTCTAGTTCCTATCATTCTTTTGGAGACATTGAAAGTAAAGTAATGTGTGTCTATGTTCAATCTTACCAACTACATTGGAAGCCTGAGCAAGGAAGGACCAATCATTTCATTCCTTTGTATTTCTTCTATTGCTTTAGTATGCTGGCATGTACATAGTAGACACTACATACATGTTTGTTGGTTGATTGCTTAAGTAAGCTAGAATGTATTACAACCATCGATCGGGAGATAGTAAATCTGTGGCTCTCAGGTTCTCTCACTGACATGATACACAATGGTCAAAATCACTATGGAAAAAGATGTTTGTATATATTTGCTTCAAGAATATTGTGCTTTCCTGAAAGACGTAACCAAGAGTTCTAATGTCCTTAATGTTTAGTTTAAACTAATGAACAAATATGCTTTTGGTCATAAATCAGAAAGTTTAGTTTTGTCCCTTAAAAATAATATATATATATATATTATTACTCCTTTGAAAAATAGATTTTTAATGGTTAAGAACAGGGAAATTTGCAAATCAAAATTTTGATTATTAACCTCTTAAATGGATACAAATCTAGTGGTCTTAACCTGTTACCATTGTAATATTAACTAAATAAACCAATGTATTATGTTTTTGCAAGTTGTCTGACTTTGCCATTTGAATTTTACTGTTTCAGTGGGTTACTTAGAAACACGCACACATGGGCTTGGTTGCTTTATGTTTCACTTAGATTTTTTTTCTCACTTTTATTTAACGTTTATTGGGGAGACAATTGTTAGTAAAGTTACATAGGTTTCAGGTGTACAATTCTGCATTGTGTGTTCACCACCCAGAGTCAGTTCTCCTTCCATCACCATATATTTGATTCCTTTCATCCTCATCTACCATCCCCATTTCACTTAGATTTTAAGAAGAAAAGTTTCAGATTACCGTTGGAAAGTTTTACCAAGATTAAGGCTATACTTTGAATTATTATTATTATTTTTTTAAAAAAAGGAAAAGTCTATTCATTGAGAGACAGAGAGAAAGAGAGAAAGAGAGAGCCAGAAAACAACATTGTGTCATTATAAATAGGAAGCAGTGTGCTAGGCTATACTCTCTATGGTTTGCTATTGTTATCAAACTAACTAGACGATATCTCAATCTCTCACAGATTAAATTACTGTCTGCCCTCATTTATGACCTCAGACTTTCTTGTGGGAGCTAAGTAACTGCTGATTTATATCCCAAGGAAAGATAATGGAAGGAAAAAAATAGATTGCCTAAAGGTGTTACCAAGGGCAATGGATAAAAGAAATATAAAAATCAGATTTCCAAATAAGAAAGACATATTTATGCTTTGTCCAATGATGGCCATTTTCATCCCTGGAAGAATTTTTAAGAAGGTACTAGAGGAGTATTTTTTAAAACAGGCTGAAATCACGTTCAGAGCACTCTTATTTTCACAGCAAAACAAGTGGAAAGAAGCATTTTCCGAGCAGGCAATAGTAATGATTCCAGAACAAGGGGTAGGATGGGCTGGGTTTGCTTCAAATACCTTCAAATGCCCCGTGACTCCAAGCTTTATATTTCTATACGTTATCTCAAGATGAATAAAGGTAGCTGGACTTTTGTCTTATTATTTTTAAAAGCTATAGCAAGGTGGCAAATTGAACTCATAACTTAGATGTGCAGAGAAAACATTTTGTTGTTTTGGTTTTAACTAATCTGAACATTATCTGTTGCCCTTTCTAATGGGTTATTTGGGAGAAAAATGAAATAAATATTCAAACATCCAACTGAGCTGATAACTTAAATAGCTGTTATATTTTCAGAAAATGTCACAATTTTACATAATAAGTTTAGACAGTCTCTTGGCTGGCCTCCTCTTTTTCCTCTTCCTCTTTGTGCATCCTTAAAATGGCTTTTGAGGGAAGGGGAAGAGGCTTTATGCATCCTAGTGCAGGAGGGGATGAGGTGGGGTCCTTGGGAAAGGGGCTCTCTTTGCCCTTTGTTCTCTGGGAACAGGTCATTTGTACACCTGGGTGATTCCTGGCTGAGTTTGTTGAAATCTGCAGCTTCTGGAGCCTGTGGTCTGACCTCTCAGCTTGGTGAGGGCGGTACCTCAGCTCCTGTGGGCTGCAGCTTTCTCAGAATCATCCACAGCCTTCATACAGCCCACCAGCCTGGTGGTCAACCCTCGCCTCTGCTAAGGAGTGACCTCACCCTGTCGCAGGCTGCCCTGTGGTGAGCCTCAGTGATTAGAAGGGATCTAGGGTAGCTCTCCACTGGCGACCCTCAGGATCTCTCTGTCTGATGTCTTTTTCTGTCTCTCTGTCTTAGATCTTTTTCATCTCTCCTTAATGTTTGTCAACTTCACTTATTAAAAAGATTCCACACACCCCATATTCCCTTTATACTGGAAGAAAAACACAGAAGTTGAGTCCTTTCATCTTAGCCTTTGATGTGCTGAAGCAGGAAAAATGGATTTAGCAAATCTCTGTGCAATCCCATGCCCACTGCCTCACTTGATTTCCAAGCATTTTTGCATGGCCTAGAACTTGAAGACAAGCCGTCTCCTGTCCTAAGGTGATGAGCCTCGCCTCAGAGTGAGAGGCTGCAATGAAACATGATTTATGGATAAAGTTAAAATGTATCAGTTCTGTGTTTATGAACTATTATCTCTCTTACTGGTGACCTCTGTGTTCCTAGGGTAGAATTTCTTAGCCCGTCTTCTCACACAACACCTCCCAAAAGGATTATGTTTGAAAACTTGGATGCCTCATCCAATTTAACCCTCACCATTGTGCAAAATGCCTGGTGTATTGTTTTGGCCAGAGAAAGAAGGCAAGGAATTCTCCTAGAGGGTATTATGGAAGATACATTTTTAAAAATTGTGACATATTTCCAATTTATTTTAAACAAATGATAGAGATGTCATATTTATAATCAATCTTCTAAAAAAACCACTTTGGTAGTACCGTTATATTTTGTAAATCTTGCTCATTACCTCCTTTATTCCAATGTACCACAACAGAGAGGTTAGGCACTCAACTAAAATGATTGACAGTTGTTTGCATAATTGTTACCATGGTGTATGCTTAAAAAATAAAGTATTGCAAAATCTGTGCTCTCTTGTTGCCTCATATACCTTTGACTTAAAGAGAACCTCTTCCATATATTCGCATGGATATATTGCTTTTCATTCAACACATTTCAGTTTGTTGAAATGTGTTGTTCTTTAAAAGAAGGCAGAGAGGTTCAACATTATTCCATGGTTTCCCTAGAGCAGTGGTTCTCAACCTGTGGGTCGTGACCCCTTTTGGGGGTCAAATGACCCTTTCACAGGGGTCGCCTAAGACCATCGGAAAACAAAAAGATATTTACATTATGATTCATAACAGTAGCAAAATTACAGTTATAGA